CCCCAAAACCCCAAAACCCCAAAACCCCAAAACCCCATTAAGCTCAAAAATGTAATAATTTTATTTTAAATTAATCTTTTCTCAAAGTTTTAAAGTCCATTACAATGTCATCTAAAGAGTAAGTCAAGGGCACAGCCAGATTTACAGTTTATAGTATTCAGATAGTACAAATATCCACTAAGCCAGAGAAGAGCCAGGAAGGAATGGGAGTCTGCCCAGTGTGTGCGAGGATTCCAGGGAAATTAAAGTGTCCTGAATGCTCAATCCCTTATTGCAAGCATCATTTAGCGAAGATTATTAGTAAGTGACACCTAAAATTTCTTAAAATTCTTAAATTTTACGCACAAATCTCATGGCCTTAGTCTCGAATACCTACTTTATTCTTAAAATTTGAGTTTATAATGGGATTGATGGAGATTTTTAGGATTTTTGTAAAAAATTGACTGAACTTTACCGATCTTTACTTGAATTTTGTACTATTCATAGTTGAAATTTTCTACTAAACTCCAGGTGTAAGCAGGATTTTAGCCCTGATGCACTGAATTCAAGGACCATCCGATAACTTTTATGTTTAGTGACTTCACCAGGAGGATTTTGTAAGAACTTCAAGTGCAAGAAACAGATTACAAGAGAGTCTTACCTGAAAATGGCGGCTAAGCTACAGAATGAAGTAGAAGACGTAGACGAAATAAAAGACCACAATTACGACGAATCTGATGAAGGAAGTTTTATGAATAGTGATATGGTCCTCGAAGACAGTGGCAAGAAGAAGGAAAGTATCAGTTCCAAGGAGTTTAAATAAATACTTAGATCATAAAATGAAGAAATATAAAAGGTTTACTAAGAAAGAATTAGGATCTTCTATCATTGTGGAAGACCTTTGTGAAAGTGTTCTGGCTAATGAATCCTCAATGTTCAGACCACTTCGTGAAGTTTATAATGAGGAGGATGAAGCTGAGGGTGAAAGTGAAGAAGAGAAAAAGGAAACAGAACCCAAGCCCGAATCAGAGTCAGAAGGACAAAAGAAAACTTCTCTATTAAAGCCAGAGTCTGAAAAGATAAAGAAAGAAAAGCAATCTGATAAAAAGAAGCTTGGTGAAAAAGCAATAAATCTTGGAAAGAATGTTTTAAAGCAGGAATTAGAACAGGAAAGATTGAACCTAAAACCAGAGTCCAAAGAAAAAGGACTTGACCAAATAAAGGAGAAAGAGAAGCTCGAGCAAGAGAAGAGAGAACAAGAAGTCTTAGGTAATATCGAAGAGGCCGAGTCTGAACAAATAAATGACTCTCAACTTGAACCAAGTGAAGAAAGCATAAAAAACATGAAAATATCAAAGGAAGAGGTTCAAGAGAATGAGAAGTATCAGAAAGAGATAATCCCCGCTAAAGGCCAATTTGATAATATCGGTGATGATCAAAATCTCAATAATTCTCACAAAAACAGAGACTCTGAGGCTAGTATAGAAGTAAGGATGGAGCCTGAGAAGGAAGAAAATCAGCCATCTAAAGATCAAAGCGTGAAAAACAAAGACAAAAAGCCATATCAGTACAAAGAAGATGAGCAACATAAAAATGATGTTAAGAATGAGCAAGATGGAGAAGGTGATAAGCCTAACGGATTTGGTAATGGCCCAGATCATAATGGAAATCCGTCAAATCTTGATGAAGGAATGCAGGAAATGAGTGAACTATGTGCTGCACACTGATATGGAATAATGGCATAAATGTTTTCAATAATTTATCTTTAGTAAGGGGTTTTGGGGTTTTGGGGTTTTGGGGTTTTGGGGTTTTGGGG